CAGGTTAACAGGGACAACAGCAGGGTCAGACGGGGTGGCAACCTGAGCCGCGGGCCGTGACGCAGGTGTGGCTGGCTTGGCAGCGGGCACGCGTAGACTCTGAGGAGTAACATTGTTAGTCGGCGTCGCTGGCTCGGCAGCGAGTACGTAAGATTCATGAAATAAGACAATGATACTGGGCACGTATAACAGCGAAAACGCAACGGAATGACGAAAAGAAGGACATCTTGCTTTAGCTGGAAGAATGAGATCATATACAAACATACTACGCACTGCAACCTTGTCCTGTGAGAATGTGCAACGGGCGAAATAAAAGACGAGGAGGGCTTCCTTTACGATAGGGACGTCGACAACGGTGAAAAGACGCAAGATACAAAGACATGCGATGCCTGAGAGGGTTACAGTAACACATATCCATGAGTAGTTCATCAGAGTCAAATATGCCGAGTTTCGTCGAAGTCTCTATACATTTGTGCTCAGACAATGGGAAATTCAGGTCACGGTGTTTGTGGGAGGTCCAATGTTCAGTGTCAGTAAGCGATGAAGTGTGGACAGTGTTCATTAGAGAGCATTTATATAATAAGGTGCCAGAAACTTGTTCATTATGTGGGCAGGAAAGGTCAGACAAAGCGAGGGAGATGGGAACAGGGAGAGGGAACAACACGGAAGGGGAGGTGTGTGAGGAAAAAGTGATGTCACTCGTGGGTTCGTTCGTTTTTTTGTATTATCCTGTGTTTTCTGTGAAAGGGGCATCAGTCGAGATTGTAGAATGTAATTTCAGAGAAATTAGTTATGGAGTGTTAGAAAAAGAGGGGAAAATCACGAATAGAAGTCACAGATTGAACGGGCGTGGTGAGTGGTGTGACAGTGTGAGTGAGCGTAGGAGATGAGGACGCTGTTTTCTGTTCGGCGGGGAGGCTGAGGCATACGCACAGTACGGGAGTAAATCGGACAATATGGAAATTATCAAAGAAAAGAAAATATCACCTAGTTATCCTAACTAAAAAAAATTGCGCCTTAACACAATACTCTGACTAACCCTGGAATATATCGTTGATGACGGGCTGGTGTGGAACGTCAGCGCGGGGAGGTGGTGGATCGTCGGCGCGGGGAGGTGGTGGGTCGTCAGCGCGGGGAGGTGGTGGGTCGTCAGCGCGAGGTGGTGGTCCGTCGGCGGGAGGGGTGGGGTTCTTTCATCAGTGCCACTTCATTGGATTCCCAGACTTCGGCTCACGGTTGGGCACAGCTGGGCCAGTAATTCCCTCGTAGGGCGAAGTGCGCCAATTAACGTTGTGTAACGGTGGTACGCGTGAATATTTGCGTACTTGCTGAGTGCTGGAGACAGGATGTTGTCAGCGACTCGACAAACAGTGTGTCAGGTGTAAACACACGTAGGTTGCTTGCTTTGCTTGTTTCTTGTGCGTGGTATTTATTCTGCGTCTGCAGGCTTGCAGCTTCGGATTGCTTGCTTTGCTTGTTTCTTGTGATTTCTCTTGTGTGTGATGTTTACTCTGCGTCTGCTTGCTTTGCTTCGGAGGCAGGAGTCTGTTGTGGGACGAATCCCGTCGCTGCTACCACTGTAGGGAGGCCGATTTTGCGGTAGAGTGCAGACAGGGCGCGTCTGGCATGATGCAGAAATCTTGGGTAGTGGTCAGGTGTAACAGACTTCTCGGTAACTCGAGAGAGAGTATAGTACAACTGACGGACAGAGGTCTGGTCCGGTCAGCGTGCCTTAGGCTGTCTGTCTGTTGCTCGCAGGCGACCCTCTTTTATACAGGTTGAACTAGGAATTCACAAGGGTTGCGATGTACTGGGAAGTGTTGAGGAAGGAAGTGATCGTGTAAACGGGGCGACGTCACGAGACGGAAGGCCCGCGAATGTCGCATCCGCTGTCGTATTGAGCAAAGGTATTGGTTTGTAGAGATTGGTGTTACTGTATTGGATATATATTTACAAGTTAATAGTGTTATATGTATGGCAATAGTAGGACAAGGGAAGGAGTCTGCTACGAGAGGTCCCAAGGGAGTCCTTTAGCTAAAGGGTTATGTGCGACCCTCAAGATCCATTAGCGGGTCTCCTTGGGGATAGGCTAGGTGTGTTATGAAGAAGGGCCATGTGTGAAATGGGCCTTACAGTGTGTGTGTGTGTGTGTGCGTATGTGTGTGTATGTGTGTGTATGTGTGTGTGTGTGTGTGTGTGTGTGTGTGTATGTGTGTGTGTGTGTGTGTGTTATAACCTGAGCACAAAGATAAAAAAGGAAACAGTCACAATAAAAAAATGAATTTGGATCACACACACACACACACACACACACACACACACACACACACACACACACACACACACACACACACACACACATGTATATATACTTTTACATATGTATATATTACTCCTGGTTTTGAGTATAAACTGCGTCCGGTAGTGGGGTTCTGGTCCTGGGGAGCATGGAGCCACCTAAGCCACTATTGCTCTCAGGGAACAACTGCCAGGGTCCCAT